TATGGCTAATGCTAAAGAAATTGGGAGATACAAGCTTGACCTGGCATTTAAGGCCCCCAAGACCACTCCCCTTAGTGACCCTCCTGACTGGGTGCCTCTTCTAAATCCCCCTGGGCCTTCCTGGTGCTCCCACTGGGGACCTATTCCATGACCTGGGGTTTCCATGGTTTCCACGCCTTCTGGTCCCCAATGCTCCCACCCCCACATCACTTCTCAGCGCTTCACAGACCCCAAAAGACTCAGAGCATCCATTACGTTGGAGATTCACAATCACATCCTGAGAAAAATGGTTGGAGAATGCCCACATGATACTCCCTCTAGGGCAGTGGTTCTCAACCTTCCTAACTCTGCAACCTTTTAATACAGTTCCTCATTTTGTGGTGACCTCCCCCAACCATAACATTATTGAATTGCTACTTCATAACTGTAATTTTGCCACTGTATGAATCATACTGTAAATATCTGACATGTGACCCTAAAGAGGTCACGACCCACAGGTTGAGAAACACTGATGTAGTGCTTTTTTTTTAAATCCCCAAGTGAGGATATTAAGTCAAGGGGGGGGACAGAGATTGAGAGAGAGAGAGAGAGAGAGAGAGAACTGGAGGGAATGTTACAGAATTTATCTGTACGGTAGACTTAGCTATGAGTTCTCTAGTAGACCAGGAAAAAGAAAAGTACCATGGGTCTCATGAATCATGGTATTCTTAAGGTAAAACTAAGCCAGCTGAGGCAGAGAAGTCAGGCTCTTCTGGATCTGGACTCTGGGTGGAGTTAAGTCAATGGGTTCAAAGGAAGAATCCCAACCCCTACGCTTCATGGGAGTCATACAGTTGCATTTGCCTGGAACCCCAGGCTTATCTGGGGGATGGTGTCTATAGACACACATGCTCTGCCTCTGTTGAACTCTCCTTTGAGGATCCGGTAAAGAGAATATGGCAGGGATTCCAGTCCGAAGTTGGCTCGTCCCTGAAACTGCTATGGCAGAGACCCAGCACCTCCCACTGACTCAAGAGCCAGGACATCCTTCCAGGAGTCCCAGTCCCTCTGCTGGGCATCCCTCCAGCACAAGACTTTGACACTCACCTTGTCCTTCCATGAAACTCACCCCACCTGCCTCATGGGCTACATAGACACAGAACTGTGTGACTTGTCATAAACCACACTGATGGGGGATGTCCTTCTATATGCTGTGAATACGTGATTCTCTTATTGATTGATGACTAAAGCTGTTTCAGTCAATGGACAGGCAGGATTTAGCCTTGTGGGAAATTCAAACAGGGATAGAGAAAGGTAGTAGGTGGAGTCAAGGGGACACCGTGTAGGTACTGGGAAAGGTAGGTCACTCGGGTATTCTCTGGTAAGCCAGGGCCACATAGAGATATATAGATTAATAGAAATGGGTTAGTAATTAAGAGAGACCTAGCCAACAAGAAGCCTGAGCCACCGGCCAAACAGTTTATAATTAATATAAGCCTCTGTGTGTTTATTTGGGACTAAAGAGCTGTGGGACCGGGTGGGACAGAAATTTCTGTCCACACGTGGTGCCCAAACCTTCAGCAAGAATTTCCATCAAAATCTGACAAAAGCTTAACAAGGGTTCTGAACGCACAGACACACAGCTGCAACTGGGCTTCCTAGTCTCACAGTATCATGCAGGCCATGGTGCAGAGACACTGTGGCAGTCGGGCTGGAGCACAGCATGGCGGATTCCTGCCGTGGTACACAAAGGCTGCGTCTCCAAGTTGCACAGCATGCTACATGGCAGATTTAGCTTTTACTCATACAGACAAAAAAGGTTTATGGGCAGTGTGTTAAGAGTTGCTTGACGGCAGCATAGACCAGAGTCGAGGTGGTGAGCACAGCTCCCAGAGCTGACGATAAACCCTGCCGTGTTGGAAAGCCTGACTGGGTGCAGCCAGCAGCCAAAACTTCCACTTTAATCCTTGCCATGCAGACTAAAGACTCATGTGGTCAGAAGAAGATAGAGATACACAGTAAAGACCAGGTCAGAGGAAAAACCCTCTAAATGTTTTTACAGTGTGTATAAAACTTGGGAGAGATAAGAAGAAGGACAGAGAAAGTCCTTTGAAAAGAAATAGAGTAGCTGGGTGTGGTGGCACATGACTTTAATCACAGCACGAGGGAGTAAAAGGCAGGCGGATCTCTGTGATTTCAAGGTCAGCCTGGTCTACAGAATGAGTTCCAGGACAGCCAAACATATACAGAGAAACCCTGTCTCAAAAAACAAAAAAATAAAATAAAAGAAATACAGTAATAACAAAAAGTCATGTAAAGATGGAAAATACACAGAATCTGGGTATGTCACTGTGCTGTCTTTGAATTGCCTGACTGCTGAGGGAGAAGCAACAGCTACTAAAAGACATTTGATTACAAATGCTGCTGGATTATCCCAATTTACATAGTTTGAAAATGCCTTGACTTCAAAATTTAAGGACACGTTACTCTGGAAAAGAGGTTCTGCTCTTGTTTCCACAGAAGATGAAAAACTGTGGATTCCTTCCAGACTAATATGGTTTGTTCAAACAAGACCCCCTGAAGCAGTGGCCCAGGTGATCCAACATCCAAGACAGCTGAGACCACGCAGCCTCACAGACTACTACAGCCAGGATTTTGTCATGGTTCTGGGTTTTCTGAGGATCACCTTGGGATTGACAGCACCCCCAAAAAGCAAGAAGCAGTTTGGAAAGAATTACACCCACATGCCCAAATATTGTTTGTAAATGTTTGTTTTCATTTAAATGGGGTTGATTATGAATTATTAATGATCACCACATTCAATCTCTTTCTAAGGAAAAAAGGAATATGATATAGAAATGAGTACTTTGCACTGGTATGAATTTTGGTTTATTGATACAAATGAAGGTCAATTTTGTTATATATATATTTCTATTCTTATTTAGGTAGTGTGCTTATACAGCTCTTTTAAAAATGTAATGTATAATTGAATACAGATTATAGATAGTCACCTATAATATTCAAAACTTATGTTAGTTGGGTTTTCTAGATATACAGAGATATATTTCAAATGGATAGGTAGTCTTCAAAAACCTTTCAAAGGCCTACAGATATGGCATTTTAAATAGTTTATTAGGGTTTTTCCTGACAATGAGACACAATTGCTCCGGGTACACCAATTATGTCAGAGAGGGAGATAAGCATCAAAGAAACTCATTATGGAGTTTGGCTACGATGTGTCAAAAATGTCCCATTGGGCAAAGAACTGCCCTTGCCTCAACTGATGACAGTAAGCACTCTGTCCAAACTGAACACACAGGCTACAAAGGAAAGTGACTGCTGAACTTTCCAAGGGACAGGATGGTCCTTCAAGGTTCCTGCTTCATCAAAAACTCTACAGGACATTCTGGGCCTATATGCTGAAGATGAATGCCCAACATTACAGAGGAACTTAGGGTGACTGTCCAGGCAGTGAGATGTCTCTGTCAATTCTAGAGTTTTTATGTTTCCTTTTGGGATCTTTGATGGAGTTGAAGACATAATTATGGTTATGGTTTTTCTTAGTTATGATAAATGATAAGTTACACATAAACTTTAGACTCACAAAGATAGGATATATGATAGAATATTTTCTTTAAATTTTGCCAAATGTTAGTGGACTAAACATTGTTAACTATGGTTCTTGCTTGTTATCTGTTTTGTTGTATATAATGTTGCTATGTTAAAGTTAAACTTTCTTTATTTAGACAGAAAAGAAGAGATGATGGGGGATGTCCGTCTTTATGCTGTGAATATGTTTCTCTTACTGGTTGATGGATAAAGCTGTTTCGGCCAATGAACAGGCAGTATTTGGGCAGGTGGGAAATCCAAATGGGGATAGAGAAAGGTAGCAGGTGGCCTCAAGGAGACACCATGTAGGTACCAGGAAGGTAGACGCCCCAGCATTCTCTGGTAAGCCAAGACCACGTGGTGATACATACATTAGTAAAAATGGGTTAATAATAAAGAGAGAGAGCTAGACAATAAGAAGCCTGAGCCATTGGCCAAACAGTTTATAATTAATATAAGCCTCTGTGTGTTTATTTGGTACTAAATGGCTGTGGGGCCAGGTGGGACATAGACTTCCATCTACACCACACAGCAAGGGAGCTAGCTCAGTTGTCAGAGCACTTGCCTAGGATGCATGAAGCCCTGGGTTCCATTCTGGGCACCTGTGAACTAGGTTCCACAGGGGCACCTCAGCCTAGTGGAGACTTCACACCAAGGTCTGGGGTCTTGTCATCCACGCACTATGGCAGTCTCCTGGACAGACCCGTCTGTGTGTGTCTACAGCGTCAGAACAAATCCACAAGCTTGGCCAATGTCACCAGCTGCTCCTGATTCGGCTTGTTGTGTTAATTAATATTGATCATCAGCCTGTCTGGGAGGGGCTAGCTGGATCGACAGTTAAACTCAGAGGACTGACTCGGAGTGTAGGTGCCACTGCTCCCTGAGCTGCAGTCTCAGACTGCAGAAGAAGGAGAATGCGAGCTGAGTGAATACCGTCTTCCTGCGCCTCCTCGCTCGGATGCACTGTGGCAGCTGCCCCACCTTGCTGCTGCCCTGCTTGCCCTGCCACGGTGCAGTGGACCCTCAAAGCGTGAGCTGAAAGCACGCCTCCCTTTCTTCTCTTTTCACTTTTTGTTCGTCTGCTTGTTTTAGTTTTTTGGTTTGGTTTGGCTCTTTAGATTTTTGGGGACTGGGCTTCTCTCTGTGTAGCCTTGGCTTCCTGGAACTCCCTCTGTAGACCAGGCTGGTCGTCTTGAACTCGCAGAGATCCACCTATCTCTGCCTCCTGAGTGCTGGGATTATAGCTGTACACCACTATGGCAGACTGAGACTCCCTTTCTTATGTGGCTTCTTGTTAAGTATTTGGTCATAGCAACAAGGAGAGTAACTGATGCACTTGGTAATCGTAACCATGGGCGATCACAGAGTCTTTTATTCCATTCCCACCATAATTACTGACGTCATACTGATGTCATGATATCCAGGCTACAGAATGGCCAGGCCAGGGTTCAGGGAGCTTCAGGGTTCAGACAGCTGAGCCCCACCAGAAGAGAAATTTAGCAACTTGGACACACGGCTGTCAATGCCACCTGGGTGGCAGCTTCAGCTGTCAGTCTAAAGAGGGCTCTGTGTCCCACATGTCGCCTTCAAGGATACATCCCACCTGAGCTGCCAAGGGACAGAGATCATCAGGTAGGCTCTCCACTTAGACGATGATTTTCTGGGAGTAAGGGGGGCATGAAAGGCCAATGGCACTCTTGTGGTGTTCCTTGATAGTTCTAGTGTGAGTGACATCTGTACGTGGCTAAGCCCTGGTGACTGGTGTTCCTGTGTGATTTGACGCACTCACAGGCGTTGATTACGGGCATAGATAAATCATTTATCAGTGTGTGGCTCCTGGTGTGCTGGCAGGTGGCAGCAATTTGCTTAGATAAACAAGGTGGAGTCCTTCTGTCTTGGCACCTGCACTCAACGCGGAGTAACTCACGACAAACCGTTGCTTTGTAAAACATGTTAACACAGCAAAACCAAGCTGAAAGGCACCACACCATACACCACGCTGTAACCCATGACATATGTAGCCCAGAGCAGGTACAGCCTATTGTTCTCACCTGTACCCCATTGCTCTCCCATGTCATCCTAAGACAGCACCCAAGCCCCCACTGAAGAGAGGGTTCCTCCCCTTTCCTAGGGTCACACACCATCTCTAGCTGTCACTTCTCAGGCATCTGCAGACCAGACCTTGATGCAGACCAGAGTTGATTAGGGAGAGCTAGTGACAGCCTGATTTCAGGGTATGTGTGTGGGGGGTGTCACACGGGACCTAGGGTATGAATACTGGGACATCTCTGTGTGTGTGTGTGGTGTTTGTGTGCACATGCGTGTGTATCTGTGAAGGGCAGGGGTTGGTGTCGGCTGTCTCCTCCGTCACTCTCTGACTTTTATTTTGAGACAGGGTCTCTCACTGACCCTGGAGTCACTGATATGCTAATTAGCCCATCATGCTCAAGGTATAGGAAGCTGTGTCAGCTTCCCAGTGCTCAGATGAAAGACGTGTGCCACTGTGTCTGACTTTTTGCATGGGTGCTGGAGACCTGAACTCAGGTCCTCATCATGCCTGTGTGGCAACCACTGTGTCAACTGAGCCATCTCAACAGCCCTCTACCAGGACATTAAAAAAGGTGTTTTTGGTTTGTATTTGTTTGCATATGCTGTGTGTGTGTGTGTGTGTGTGTGTGTGTGTGTGTGTGTGTGTGTGTGTGTGTGTGTGTGTGTGCCATGCAATCCATCTCCCCTAATAGCCTTGCTCCAGCTGAGTACTGGGGGTTTGACGGGTCAGCCTGGGAGTGAACCTGCTCCCAAATGGCTGAACCACACCGAGAACATCAGAAGAGGAAGCTTAGAGATAACCCAAATCCAGAGGCTCCACAAATGGAAGAACCGAAGGTCAAAGACCCCTCCCCACCCATAGTCCTCATGACCCTTAGGAGCCTGGGGCTCAGCAGATGCTCTAAGAAAGCTATGACTGACTTGGCACTGCTAAGAAGGCCCGGAGAGGGTGAGCAGTTAATCCAAGGCCACACAGCACATTCCCTTTCTCCCATATCTGAGGAGAGAAGGGCACCAACGTAGAGTGAAGAATGAAGGTCAGTAACAGGGCAGGCAGAACCAACAGAGGACAGAGTGCGAGCCCAAGAACAAGGGTCCCTTGCCTGCCTCAGTCTTCTGGGGGTTTTGGACCCATCTGTCCATGGGACTATTAGGAACAGCAGCTGCACACCAGGGCCTTATCCCATGTCCTTCCAGCACCTCCCAGGGGAGCTGGCCTTGAACACACAAAATGCATGCTGGGCCCTCATGGCCCGCCTCCCCCAGGAAGCCTTGCCAGCTCTCCCTGGCTCTCGGGAAGTGTTCTGTTCTTGAAGCCACACCCACCATCTCTTCTATGGAAAACTTGACTTCAGCCCCATTCCCTTGTCATTCTGGCAAGATTCACCGTCCACAGATGGCCGGGGACAGGGCTCACGTGAAGGAAGTCTAAACTCCAGGTCTTGTGAGGTCAAACCAGGAACAATGTACCTTGCAGGTTAAGGTTTCTGTTTGCAGCCAAGACAACTGAGAGTAAGTTCCTCTTTGCCCTGTGTAAGTCCTTGCATGTCAAGGTTTCTGTTTGTAATAAAGAATACATTCCTGCTTCTTAAATCTGACGTAAATAGCAAAACATGTTTTTCAACCTACACTAAACTTGCGACCCCATTCACGAGATGCCTATCCTTCCCCTTGTCCCTTCCCTTCCATTGCATTTTTCTAACAGCGTGCAACAGCCAAGTCTCTCGCCCCTGTGAATGCCTTATCTGTCCTGTAAAAAAGAACCTCGGGAGGCCAGCATGGCTGCTGTCTAAAATCCCGACCTAGGGAGAGGCAGCTGGACTGACCAGTGCAGAGTGCACCCCAGAATAAAGCTTACTTCAAACAGACGGTCATGGATTCAATCTTTCTCCCCAATTCTTCAGGGTTAACAGTCTTACGGGTGTTATGAGCCATCAGCCAATTACTGGGCAGCAGCCACCGCCCTTGGTGGGCAGTGGCTCTTGGGGAGTGGGGTCACCAGTGAGCAGAGCCCTCAACATAACCCTCCCCTCCCCTGGCCCTGCATCCCAGTGGTAGTGGGTGGGGAGAGGGAAGGACAGGGGGACAGGTGGACAGACAGACAGGAAAGCTGGGGTGGATGTGAGGGATGCTCAGGGCTGGACGAAGAAGAAAGAGCATGCGGAAGGCAGAGGCAGACAAAGGCTGGAAAGGGGTGACAGAAAGTGAGGCCCAGAGACAGGTAGTGACTGGCTCTGGGTCACACAGCAGGCAGCTGCAGAGCCACCTCCCCTGGCTCAACGCCTGGCTCCAGAGAAAACAAAGTAAACGTCATTGCCATTAAGTCTCTGTCAACATCTTATCAGATGGGCCATGGACACAGGTAGATCTTTCAACACACCCAGCCATGTGTTCCTCCCATGTGTTCCTCCCCTGCCTCCTGCCTCCCTCCGCTCACTTTCTGGAAGAGGCAGCTGGGAACTGCCCAAACTTGTCCTCTCTCTATGGAGCTGGAGCTGGATCCCAGCTCACGGCAATGACACCTCCCCACCCCTGTTGTCCAAGCTAGGCCACCATGCGTAGATGGCGAGAGGCAGGTGGCTGTATCAATGGATGTCTTTAGCTCCTCTGTAGGCAGAGAGGGGCCCTACCGGCCTCAGGCATCTGCCCAGGTTCACCGTGTCTCTGGCACACCGCAGGGAGGTATGTGTGCGCAGGGGACACAGGATGCCTCCACTGGCTCATCTGTGTGACATGGGACAGTTTCACCCTCCAGTCCCCTGCTCCTGTCACTTCCTGGGCTCCCCAGCTGTGTCTCCTGTGTCCTGCTCACATTCTTGTCCTGGAATGAGGTGTGAGGTGACTGACCTGCAGCCCCTCCCCCTTCACCTACAGTCAAGACACCTGAGGTGCACGGAGCTGGGACAGAGACTCTCTAGCAATGTCACCTCAGATACGACAATTCTCCTGCCCCATCTCACAGACAGAGTGGAGCCTCAGGGGTCTCAGAGCCACAGACCGGCCTCCTTGCCCTTCACTTTGCTGGGATTAGAGACCTCCCTTCTCTCCTTCAAGGGTCAGACTTCCAGACCTTTCGGGAGACTCCTGAGGGGAAGGGGTCATCTGGGCAAGGGTGCTGTGACCAGCCTGACTCTTCTGACCCCAGGAGAAGGAGGGCTGAGTGCCCAAGGTCAGGGTCTGGTGATCTCTCACGGGCACACAGCTTTAAGACAGATCATCACAGGCGTGCACAGAGAGGGTGCCAGGTCCCGCTCAGGGTGGGGCCTTTTCTGTGCGAGGCAGCGCTGGGATGATAGCCTGAGCAAGGGAGGGTTTATGACCTAGGTCATACATGCCCCTTGTTGCCCTGTCACCTCTCAGGGTGCTCAAGATTGGGTGTCCACAATGGCTCCCCTTTCAGTAAACTATAGTCCCCAAGTGACACCCAGGCTACCAGATGGGATACATTTGCCACCTAGAAGGGAATTAGTGGCATCGACTCATTAGACAAGGGACCGTGAATCCAGGTATATATATTTGTTCCTGCCTCCGCATCTGCCAAGACCCTTGCCGCTCAGTTACTGACTGACCATAGACTTCTCTCCGGGCCTGAGCCTGGCTCCCAAACAGGCCATCCACACAGCCTGTCCTGTCTGGCATCACAGGACCAATGTGTCTGCCCTCTGCTCCCCATATGTTTCAAAGTGCACTGGGCTTTTTGTTTGTTTGTTTTTGGAGACAGATTTTCACTAGCCCTGGCTGTTCTGGAACTCACTTTGTAGACCAGGTTGGCCTCAAACTCACTGAGATCTGCCTGCCTCTGCCACCTGAGCTCTGAGATTAAAGGCGTGCGCCATCATTGCCTGGCTAAAGTGCACAGGGGTCTGGCAACATGATTCTGGGCTTGCAGCTCCCAGCCATGTCTCCGTGTGTCTCGTTCAGAAGGTCCCATGTGAAGCATCCTCAGCCATGTCTCCGTGTGTCTCGTTCAGAAGGTCCCGTGTGAAGCATCCTCAGCCATGTCTCCATGTGTCTCGTTCAGAAGGTCCCGTGTGAAGCATCCTCAGCTTTGTAGACCCGGAGGATGGTAAGTGAGAGGAGGAGAAGGTACAGGAGGCCTGCAGTCAGCAGAGGCAGAGGGTGGTTTCCCCAACAGGACCAGCCAGGCCCCCTGTGGGGAGAGGGTCATGGACTCAGTGCTGGTTTTGCATCGTGGTGGTTCGGCTCTTAAGCGTTCTCCAAGAGCTCCTGTGTGCGGGGTTCAGAGGCGGGGCCTCCCAAGCGATGGATCACTGAAACTCTTACACAGTCGACTGATTAATCCATCGATGGACTTAGCTTAATAGGCTGTTGGGAGGTGGTGGAGGCTTCAGGAGGTGGATCCCAGCTGAATGAAGTAGGCCACTGGGAGTGTGTCTTTGAATGGGGACAGTTGTCCTGGCCCCCATCCTCTCTCTTTGCCTCCCAGACAGCCTGGAGAAAGCAACCAGCTTGGTTACACGCTCCCTGCCTCGTCAAGGTGACCAGGGGGGTGAAACCTCCAGAGCACTGTCACAATAAATCTGTCATCATGCAAGTTACTTTCTCAGTGGTAGTTTATCACAGCAATGGAAAGCTGACTATCTAGGGGTACAAGGGAAGGATGTTACACACCCCCAGATTGGAGGGGGGCTCCCTCAGTACAAACTGGGTCTCTCCAAGAGGTAGCTGGGCAGAAAATAGCAAGCCTTGAATCCCAGTAGTGGGACCCCACAGACTGCTGGGGACTTCTGATTCTCTCTGTCTCTCTGTCTCTCTGTCTGTGTCTCTGTGTCTCTGCCTCTGTCTCTCTGTCTCTGTCTGTCTCTCTGTCTGTCTCTCTGTCTCTGTCTCTCTCTCTGTCTCTCTCCCTCCCTCCCTCCCTCTCTCACTCCCTCCTTAGCCTTATCTTTCTTTAACTCTGTGCAAGGAAGCATTGGGCAGCTAATGCTCTGAGGCCTGTTCAGTTTTGACTCCATGAGACCAAGGGAGACCTTTCCCCGCCCTCTCCCCAGCAGCACCCCAGCCTCAGCGCCACTCTCCAAAATGAGGCCAGTCAGACTGGGGCTGGGGCTGAGCACCCACAGCCCAGCCCAGGCCTGAATCATTCCGCCTGATCTTGGCCTCCAGCCCCGGAACTGGGGTTGCTGGCCTGTCGGGGAAGGGCAGCACCTGGGTCAGAATTATTGCTTCCTGTCCCTCCTCTTCCAGCGGATGTGTGCCTCCCTTCACCCCGACACCCAAGCAGTGGTCCCAAGGGCCAGCCACTGACAGAGCAGTGCAGGTCTCATATGTGCTGTTCTCACAGATGGGGCAGGGTGGGGTTGGGAGCCTGATGGTAGAGACAGAGCCTTTGTGAGACTGCAGGCTGAGTGTCCAGCCCTGGGAGCCTGGTTTCTGAGGTGGCAAAGTCCCATTGCCCTGGAGATTCCTGACCTGATGGACAGGAGGACTCAGGCTCGGCTGATGGAGAGGAGGCTGTCACACAGTAGGGTCTTTAGGCAGCCATGGTCCAGGCTGTCCCTGTCAGGCTTGTAGGCTCCCTCTGGGCAAATGGGGTCAGGGTTAGGGGCAAGTGCTGCAGGCCACCTCCAGGACAGAGAGCCCCCTCCCAAACTGCATAGCCATCTGTCACATGCTCTCCCAGCTGCACCTTCTGGCTGCCTGTGCGCATAGTCAGTCAGACAGCCACTTTCCTGTTCCACAGCAGAGGAACCAGACCTCAAAGGGGAAGATACAAGGCCAAGGCCACACACCAAGGCCAGATTGGGGCCCAGGTTTACCTCGACAGGGAGGTGGGGAGAAGCAGCCTGTGACTCAGGGAGCTGGTTCCCCGTGTATTTGGCCCAGAAGGCTCCGTCTACCTGGCACCTCTGCCCCAGTGCCCTTGAGATGGCCTGCCTCAGGCTGCCCAAACCTGGTCTTTCCCAACCCTGTTTGGAAAAATGCTTTTTATTTGAAAGAGGCCCGCTGCCTCATCAGGACTTTATGAGCCAGGGTTATGGGTCTGGTCCAGAGAGCCTGGGGCACAGCTTTGGCATGTGCCAACAAAAGTACCCACTTAGGTGCAACCTGGGCTCAGACTTCAGCTTTCCTGAATGCCAAGATTAGGGATGCGTCAACGAATGAAGGAAATAGGAAGGACCAGAGATAGGTAGTAACTTACTGAGGTCACACAGCACACCGGTAGCAGACCTTGGTCCTGATATTACTCCCCTGGCTTCTGTTCAGGACTCTCACAGTGCCAAAGGTAGCTGGGGACAGGTCTTACTTAGCTCAGGCATAGCTCAGGATGTCAGCAAAATGTGTATTGAGAACATTATGGGCTTTACCTTTTATGGGGCTGCATTCCTGGTGCTGTAGGAGGCAGCTGTAGGACCTTGGTAAAGCAGGGTTTGGGGCGCATAGAGGATCAACCACCCCTCCCTTAACAAGTCACCAGGGTCCCCTAAGATGGCCTAGCTGTGATATGTTGGAAACAGAAGGACCCTACTACATACTCAGCCCCTGTGGACACAGTCAGGGCAGGGTACTGGACTACATCATCACTAACTGCTGGAGTCTGCAGCTGCTGATGGACCATGCAACTTTACAAGAAGACACTTCCCTAGAGGTTACATAGCACCTCGCTAGGGAGGTGAGCACTCCTGTCTGCTTCGGAAGCCACACTTACTTCTCCCCCTCCCCCTCAGCTCCCTCCCCGGATACTGCCTTTACCTCCTCAGAGGGCTCCAAGTACCCAGTCACCTGCTCACTGGCCCAGTCCTGTGGGCAGTTTCTCACAGCTGGCCTTGCCCCGAGCTGCACCTCCTCCCTGGACCCCCTGAGAATAATGGAGTGGGCAGAGATGCAATTGACCCCGGGGTTTTCTTGAGCTGCTGGGATTTCAGGCAGGCTCAGGACCTCAGGAGGTAGTGGGGAGGGGGGTTGTGGTTTCTGGGTCAGGAGGCACAGGCCAGATGCTTGGCTTAATTGAACACTGCCATGTATGAACTGCTGTGTGACTTTGTGTATCATTGGCTCACTCTGAGACTTCTCTATTTGTGCCCAAGAAGGGAAGAAATTTGACATAAAAGCACACACCCGAAATCCCGGCATTAGGAGGCAGAAGCAGGAGGATCGCAAGTTCTAGACCAGTCTAGGCTACATGGGTAAGGCCCTGTCATTCTTTAAATGAATGAATGCAACTTTAAAATTAAAAAGAGGAGACAGGGAGAGGGTTGGGCCACACTTGTGACATCACCCAGTTTCAGCATTGGCGACTATCCCAGAGCAGAAGACAGCATGGTGCGGGTCTCTTCTATAGATAGACAAGAGACATTGGAAACTCAAGAGCAGCAGGGATGGAGGCCTGGGGATGTAGTAGCATGCTTATCTAGCATACATGAAGCCATGGGTTTGAACCCCCGACACACATAAACCAGGCCTGGTGGGGCATGCCTGAAATCCCAGCTCTTGGGAGGTGGAGGCAAAAGGCCATGGTCGTCCTTGTGTGTGTGTATGTATGTGTGTGTGTGTGTGTGTGTGTGTGAGAGAGAGAGAGAGAGAGAGAGAGAGAGAGAGAGAGAGAGAGATGTGAGATCTCCAGTTTCACGTCACGGCCCAGCAGCATGCAGGAGCGTGCTCTGGGGAGCCAACCATGCCTATTGCTTCCCACATCACACACACTAAAGACACATGGGTGGCTAGAAACTGTCATGGTGAGAACGATGACGCACAGAAACGGGTTAGCACTACACATGGCGCGGGTTGACCTCTGTGCATTGCACTGGTTATCTTAGAAGCTAATGCTAAACATTTAGCAATCATCACTGGTTACACACAGGTAATTTTCTGGAGGTGTATTTCCTTTATTATTGTTGCAACAAAATACCCAACAAAAGCAACTGAAGGAAGGAAGGGAGGGAGGAAGGGAGGGAGGGAGGAAGGAAGGAAGGGAGGGAGGGAATGAGGGAGGGAGGGAGGAAGGAAGGAAGGAAGGGGTATTTGTTGCAACAAAATACCCGACAAAAGCAACTGAAGGAAGGAAGGAAGGAAGGGAAGAAGGGAGGAAGGGAGGGAGTGAATGAGGGAGGGAGGGAGGGAGGAAGGAAGGAAGGAAGGAAGGAAGGAAGGAAGGAAAGGGTATTTGTTGCAACAAAATACCCGACAAAAGCAACTGAAGGAAGGAAGGAAGGGAAGAAGGGAGGAAGGAAGGGAGGGAGGAAGGGAGGAAGGGAGGAAAGTGTCTTAGCTAGGGTTTCTGCTGCTGTGAAGAGACACCATAACCACAGCAGCTCTTATAAAGGAAACATTTAAGTTCACGGATGACAAGCGTGTGCTGTCGCTCTCAGGTTTACGAGGTGCTGGGGAGAGAGCTTTGTTCACGGTAGACACGCACTCTACCAAGTGAGCCATACCACTAGCCCCAAGGGATTTTTGTTGTACTTATTTCCATTTCCTTTTTAAAATCTGTAGATTACATATTTTATCTTCTGTGTAAGGATGCATTGCCTGCATTTATGTCTATGCTGTATTTGCATGCCTGGTGCCCAAGGAGGTCAGAAGAGGACACTGAATACCCTGGAACTTGAGTTTCATGGGAACAGAACCCAGATCCTCTGCGAGAGCAGCAGCAGCTATTGAAGGATATTTGATCACGCTGTGACACCCGAGACTGTGATAATAAAGTTAACCTTGAATCGGGGGGCAGAGCCAGTGACTAGCTGGTGAGAATTCGCCATAGAGGACATGGAGGACCCAGGATATGGATAGAGAGGCACAGGAAGGAGAAGGGACTTGGATATTTGTGGGCTTTGGTATGGGAAGTGTGGAGAGGAGGACAGCCGGTTGTCCCCAACGGTTCTTTGATCCGTCAGGTTTTCACCCTCGTACCTGACTCCTGAGTCTTTATAGGCAATAGAACAACTTAGATAAACACAACAACTGGTTCCAACATGAGGCTGGAGAACTCCTCCCTATTGGGGCAGCCACTGCTTAGGGGGCTTCTGCTGCCCCCACCCCACTCCCTCCCCATGGGTCATGGGGCTTCTCTTGCCATGGTCTCCCTGGGAGGACACCACACGCACCTGCCACATGACACCTTCTACATGACACCCGCTTACACTACAGAACCCGCTCTAGCCTCTGCTGCCACAGTCCTCCATACATGCACACAGGACACGCTGTCCTGCCTGCCTCTGCAGACGCCTCACCCGAAGCCACCTGCTGCCAGCTCTGTCATCCAGGCAGCCCCACACCTGCCATGCGGCGGGCACATGCCACCCATGCCCCCCAGCGCCTGCTGCACCTGGGCACCCCACCACTCCGCCCCCTCGTGTAACCCATTATTGCCGTCACAGCCACTACTGCTGTGGACGAACTGAGAGAAAAGTCAGCAGGTTTGGTAAGACACCAGGGAAGTCCAAAGAAATATCTTTCCCACGTTAAGATCGGGAAATACCACAATGCAGAGAGTTAGGACTCTGTATAATGCAACTATGAATGACTTAAAAATGGAAAAAAAAGTAAATGAATGGATAATTGACTTCACTGGGATTGACATAATGTCAATTACAA